GGTTGTGACCCCTTGGGGGGGTCACTTGTCAGATACCCTGCATAAAAGATATTTACATGGGGGGGCGGTGGGAGGGGTTGGGAAATGGGAGGAGGTGGAAATTTTTAATAATAAAAAAAATAAAGTTTAATAGCTACCAAAAAAAGATATTTACATTATGATTCATAAGGGTAGCAAAATTAGTTATGAAGTTGCAACGAAATAATTTTATGGTTGGGGTCACTACAAATGAGGACCGTATTATAGGGTTACAGCATCAGGAAGAGTGAGAACCACTGAAATACAGGTTCATCTCACCACCTTCTATCAGGAATGGCAGATTTTAATAATCATTCTCACTGTAGGATATATAACTACTAACAGCTGCATACATACTCCGAGTTAATAAATGCTTCTCTGAGAACACATAACCAGTTTTCCAGACAGCTTAGAGGGTCTAGAGAGCTGATAACTAACATATCTTTCACAGATTGGGGTGACTTGTGTGTGGAAGGGCTCTAGGAAAGTATCCCTGAAGAAGAAACAATGGACATTAATTTGGAGGCATAAATAGGCAAAATGAGAGCGAGAAAGCATTCCAGGGGCACTAGAGGAAGTATGGGAGACCTGAGAACTTAGATAAGGCCATGGAATTGGTGTCGACACAAAAACACAGGTCTCAAACTCAAAGAGGAAACGAGGTAGTATGTTCTGGTTCCAATTTATACTGACTATAAGCCAGGAACCTGGATTTAGGTTACCCCAAATTCCACTGTTCCAAGGAGGAAGTATGGTGTTTTTACAGCAACAGGACAAAGTTACAAATCAAGGCATTGTATTTTTTAATGCATTTTATTTCACTTTTTGAGACAAGGTATTACTACTTAGCCTTGGCTGGCCTAGAATTTGCTATATGTGGGGGCCAGCCATGATAAGCTAAGTCTGGGCAAGTCACCCAAAGGAAGCTCTTACTTCCACTGTCACCTGGGACTCTGGCCACAGACGAATTTAAATGGAGTCTGGAGTCTCAGTAGTTTACCCCGAGACAACGCCTGCCTGCAAGAGGAACCACAACTGAGATTGCCTGCCCCCACCCAAGAGCAGACCATTCAAAGGAAATGCCTGGCATTCCAAGAGCTATAGAGACACCTGCCAGCTTACCTCAACAGGACACCCCTAGACAAATGTCAGCCAATCAGGGACCCTAAACCTCAGAGACCCCTTTCCTCCACCTCTACTACTATAAAAACCCTATTTTTTTTTATAAAGACTTTTTATAAAAATATTTATTATGTATACAATAGTCTGTCTGCCTTTATGCCTGAAGGCCAGAAGAGGGCACCAGGCCTCATTAAAGATGGTTGTGAGCCACCATGTGGTTGCTAGGGATTGCACTCAGGACCTTTGGAAGAGCAGGCAATGCTCTTAATCACTGAGCCATCTCTCCAGCCCTAAAAACCCTATTATAATTGAGCTCGAGGCTCTCCAGATATTACGTTGGACATGTGGAGAGACCGAGTTTGCAAATTTGATTAAAATAAAGGCTCTTTACTTTTACATATGGGACTCAGTCTCCTTTGTTGGCTTTTGTGGGGACCCCACGGATTTGGGCATAACACTATATAGACAACAAGGAGGACCTCAAACTCACAGGGACTTATTGCCCTCTACATCCAGAGAGCTAAGATTAAAGATGTGCATAACCACGTCCTGTCCTTCAAGGCATTTTAAAAATACATTGGTGGCCACTGGAGAGAGGGTTCAGTGGTTAGGAGCCCTTCTTGTACTTGCAGAGGACCATGGGTTTGATTCCCAGAACCTACATAGTAGCTTATAATCATTCATAATTCCAGTTCCAGGGGCTCTAATGCCTTCTTCTGATTTCTGTGTGCATCAGACATGCATGTGGTACATATATGCAGGCAAAACACACAAATAAAATAAATCTTAATAAGTAAAATAAAAATACATTGTTTTTGAAACATCAGAAATATGTGTTAGCCAGGTAAGTAAATCTCAACTGCAGGCCTCAGAAGCTTTTGATAGCATTTTTAGCTCTTTGATGGGTGGAAAACCTGGTTTTGTTAACACATTCCACAAGTTTAATACATTTCACCTGTAGCTGGGATGGTAGGTTCATCTCAGAGGTGGGGACAAAATGGCTCTTTGGGGGGCTAAAGATGGCCCAAAATAAATCATAATTAGCTTCTGAACTTTAACATTCCAACTGCTTCAGTCACTGATGTTTTAATTAGCTTTTGTGGACACCGCTCCTCTTCAAGGATTCTCCTTCACAGAAGGCAGAGGGCAAGGGGGCAGAGTGGCATGGCACAAAATGTTAGGTTTGAATGTGCTCATCACTTAGGCACAGCCGTTACCAGATAACGCATTTTGGAAAAATTTCTCTAGCTACCATAAGAAGAATGGATTCATGTGGACAGAGTGGCTGGGGGCTTCGCTCAGTGCTAAAGGAACCAGTCAAAACCAGCAGGCAGAAAGGCTGTAAGAGCAAAAGGGGACCCATGACTCTGCGGGAAAGAACTCAGAGACTGAGCGTCACCACACACAGGCCTGCACAGGCTCAATCCAGCTTGTGTCCCGTCGCAGGGAGGTGGAAGAGGACACAGGCTGCAACCTCTAAGTAAGACGCCTTCTCCAATTGACAACTGCTTGCAAAGGAAGACTTTCCCAAAGGCAGTCTCCCTGGGTATATTAACCACACTTAAGTGTGGGCCCTATGCCCAGCAGTAGATAACCAACACAAAACTAACTCAATGATATTTTTGTAGAATTTTTTTTTGTATTATATTGCTTTGTTTGGGCAGGGTTTTTTTGCTTTATTTTGTTTTTTGTTTTGTTTGTCTTACTGGTCTTTTGCTTGTATATTATGGTTTCCAATTTTGTGTTTTTGTGGGTTTTGTGTTTCTTGAGCTTTTCCTTTTTTATTCTGGTGTGTTTATTTTGTTTGCCTGTTTGTTTTCTTTTTTCTTTTCCTTTTTTTTTCCCCCAACAGGGTTTCTCTGTGTAGCCTTGGCTGTCCTGGTACTGCCATTCTCTGTAGAGCAGGCTGGCCTTGAACTCATAGAGATTCGCCTGCCTCTACCTCCCAAGCACACCACTACCGGCCTATTTGTTTTCTAAAGAGAAGGAAAGGGCATGAAGTTGGGTGGGTGGGGAGGATCTGGGAAGAGCTGAGGGAAAGGAAACTATTATCAGAATATATTACATAAAATTTTTTTTATAAACCGGGCGGTGGTGGCGCACGCCTTTAATCCCAGCACATGGGAGGCAGAGGCAGGCGGATCTCTGTGAGTTCGAGACCAGCCTGGTCTACAAGAGCTAGTTCCAGGACAGGCTCCAAAACCAGAGAAACCCTATCTTGAAAAAAAAAATTATTTTATATTTAAAAAAATATATCTTGAAGATTAGAGAAGTTGGGCAAGGGGACTATTTGGAAGATAATTGCAATTATTACCTACATAAATATGGCAGACTAAGGTGGTGGTAATGAAATTGTACTATATATATATATTATATAATATATATGTGTGTATGTATATATACACATACACACATATGCATGACATATATCAGCTATTTCATACATATATACATATGGTATATGTATCAGCTATAAAGATAGGTTTTTTTTTAATTCAGGATTTCATTTTTTAAAACTGGCTGGTCTGATACTCTTTTTTTAGCGAGTATACTTCCAAATGAACTTGATGACAGAGGAACTCACAGAGACCTGCTGCCTCTGCATGCCCTACTTCGTCTGGCTAAGCAGCTGAATTGTAAAAATGCTTAAAGTCCGCAGGTTCGAAAAGAAATTGGGTATGGAAGGGGAGGTCTGGAAGCAGTTAAGGAATAACGCCTATGTTCCTGGCTTGTGTATTGGCGTCCTTCAAACTTCAAACTGTTGTCTATGCAGGGCGCGAGCAATCCTCGCAGGAGGCTGCGAGTTCAAGGGCAGTCTGGGATAGAGCGAGATTTTGCGTGTGCTCCATCCTGCAGCCTCACACCTGTCTGCCAATGAGTAGCAGGTGCGCTCTCTCTGCAGACCAGGCAAAGGCAACCTGACGGTGCGGTGACCCCCCACCCATGAGGAGCCCTTCAATTCAGCCCAACAGAGCTCCAGCCACACCCCACAAAGCTGAGAGGTCCAAGAGGACAAATGATGTCTTGGCTCCTCGTTCTTGTTGGGCTCAATTCAGTTACCTCCAGCCCTCTCGCCCGTTGGGGCAGTTCCTCATCTCCAGCAAGACGTGCCCTTGCTTCTTGGATAAGACCTGGCCTTGCACTACTTTCCCGGCGTGGTCAATAGGATTCTCGATGGCCATCCCTTCCCACAATTCCGCGGTCCTTCTTGGGTACCTGCCCTCCGCTGACTCCGGATCTCGCGAGAGTAAGATAGTGCCCGTTGCAGCCCAGAATCGCCTTCCCGGACATCAGAACAGCATCCTTCCTGGCTTTCCCCCCAATCCTGACACTCGCGCTCCGCTCTCGGATTGGCTGAGGGACCCGGTCAGTTTTTTTCCCAGTCAGAAAGCAGTTCCACAACTTGTCCTTCTCTGCACCCGCCTCTGGAGACTGCGGATTGGATGACTGGATGTGACGTCACGGGATCGCGTCAGAGGGAACTAGCCAATCACAAGCTTGGCGTATTTTACAAACTGGGGACGCAGCAGCAGCAGCAGCAGCAGCAGCAGCAGCAGCAGCAGCAGTAGAAAACTAGAAAATCGGAGAAAAAACTGAGAAAGTAGAGGTGACCCCTAGGGGCTCCTGGAGAGGTGCGGCACGGGATCTTTGAGGGGATGAATCCTGTCGCGGTTCCTAGGGAGGACAGCAGTTTGGAGTCCCGGGGCGCGATAGCAGGCCTGGGGTGTCTGGAGGAGTCAGCCAGAAAAGCGGCCCTGCTGCCGGTGCGGGCCTCTAGGCACATGGATTGGGACCAAGGTGGAAGAATCAGGATATCGGCCCCCGTGCCTTGATAACTGATGTACTTTGGTCCTCAGCCCTGTCTCCCTTCTCCCGTCTCAATTATAGCCGCCATGACTACCCTTCACACGATGAAGAATCCCCTCCTCCGAGGTGTATCTCCCACCCCTAGCAAGATTCCAATACTCTCTCAAAGATGCTCAGAGTTTTCATCAGTCAAGTCGTGCTCTCTGGACCAGGAGAACCAGGATCCAAGGGTAAGAGGGGCTTGATGGGTGAAGAGAGTCAGAACGTGGAGGCAGCTCACATTAGCAATGCACCCCAGGGCTGAATCCCAGTTTTTTGTTCGCCTTCCCGTCAGAAGCCACCGCTCAGTACTCAAAGCCCTCTCATCGATTCAGCTGGCCTCAAATCGAAAACCTTGCACCAGAAAGAGAAATCACAAAGATTGGGGAGCACTCAGCTCCGGAACCCTTTGGAGGAACTCAAGCCTAGCTCTGGGAGACCAAATGTGGGGCTTGTATCCCAGCCCCAGACAGGTACCTGCTGGAAGCTTGGGAATGGCCTATTTGGTTCCGTGAGAATGGGAAAGGTGAAGTGGGATTTGGGGTTTGCACACCCTCTGGTTTCTTGCATGCTCTAAGAGTTCTAGACTCTGTCCTGCAAGCTCTTTGCTTTAAGAAGTCATCCCTTTACTTCAGCAAAATGTCATCTCTTTCCTGTCATGGTGGCGCCCGCATTTAATCCCTGCACTTTAGGAGGCAGAGGCAGGCAGATCTCTGTGAGTTCAAGGCTAGCCTGTTCTATAAGAGTGAGTTCCAAGACAGGCTCCAAAGCTACACAAAGAAACCCTGTCTCAAAAAAAAAAACAAAAAAAAGAAAAAAAAAAGATTTGTTTTCATTTTATTTAATTTAATTTTATTTATTTATTTATTTATTGTTGGTTTTTCGAGACAGGGTTTCTCTGTGGTTTTGGAGCCTGTCTTGGAACTAGCTCTGTAGACCAGGCTGGTCTCGAACTCACAGAGATCCGCCTGCCTCTGCCTCCCGAGTGCTGGGATTAAAGGCGTGCGCCACCATCGCCCGGCTTTCATTTTGTTTTAGTCAGTGTGAATGCAGCAACACCTGTGGAGGTTAAAAGAAGGCATTGGATTGGGTACCCTAGAGCTGAAGTTATAGCCAGTTGTGAGCCGCCATGTAGGTGCTGGAAATAAAACCCATGTCTCCCATAAGAGCAGACAGAACTCGTAACTGCCCCTGAAAAGGATTAGTTTGAATTCTGTATATGTGTGTGGGTATGTGAGTGCAGGTCCTGTGGAGGTCAGAGCATTGGATTGTCCTAGAGCTGGAGTTACAGGCCACCTGATGTAGGTACTGGGAACCATCTCTTCAGCCCCCAGTGATATCCTCTGTATGACAAAAACTTTGTTTTATCTTTTGCTCCCTTGGTTAATGTAATGACTTACATGAAATTCTTCAAACATTTGATGAGCTAGGTTCAATTGAATGTTCTCCTCCCCATCTCTCAAGGTCTTACATAGCTCAGACTGGCTTTGAGCTCTGTATGCTGGGGAGGCTAGTCTTGAACACCTGGTTCTCCTGCCTTGGTAGCCTAAATTCTAGAATTACACCAAGCCTGGCTTGGATATGTTTCTTTTTCTTACTGTTACTAGGATCCCCTGCGCCTCAGCCTCCTCTATTCCTATTTCTTCTAATTCTGTTTTTTCCCTTTCAGAGGCTCTAAGGGCTATAGAGTTTGTTGCTGACCCGACAGCCCTGGCCACCATCCTTTCAGGTGAGGGGGTGAAGAGCTGTCCACTGGGGCGCCAGTCCAGTCTGGCTCAGAGAGTACTAGTTCGAGGGAGCAAGGGAGGCACCACCCAGAAGGGCCAGGTAATGAGAAGGATGTGAGGCCAGGCTGGGGTGGACTGGGAGAATTCTGAGCTCCTGCTTACAGCCTCTATTCCAGAGTGCTCGGTCTTCGGCATACCTGGCTCCCAGGACCCCTATCCATCAGCTGGAACCTGCCAGGGCTTCCTGCTTCTCAAGACTGGAGGGATCAGGACCCCGAGGAAAACCACAGAGTTCAGAGGCTCTGGTGAGTACCTTTGAGGGGCTGACACTTGGTCTCTCTAGAAACTTCTTCCTGGAACAAAGGTCTTACCCTGGGATAGTACCTCAAGATGAAAACGGGTTCTGTTGGTAGAGGTGGGTTGGGGTTTGTGTCTAGTTTGGGGCCTACTTCTCACTCTGGTTTCATGTCTTGCTCTGGGTCAGAATCCACCTTCGGGACCTTCCTTTCATCCCTTCACTCGCCCCAGTTTACAGGAGCTGAGAAGAGAGACGTGTGGCAACAGCAGGTAAGGAATGGGTGTGGATTCCCTTTCAACCCAGGAAAGCATGTTAGGTGAGCCCCTGGAACAGGGGTCTGGCTCTCATAGCCAGGCCTTAATATGAAGGAACAGAGGGATAGACATGGGAAATGCTGTTTCTTTTGGCTACAACATAAACTGACAATAAATGGGTTTTGAGTTGCACTCCTGACCCTTACTTCCACTAGTTATGCGACCTTGCCTTAGCTATCTGAGTTCTGTATCAGCCAAGCAAGGGTGTTTGTACCATTAGAGGCTATCGGGAGAACGCAGTGAAATGGTGTTTATAAACATTTACCAAATGCCCAGCCGTTGGTTGACACTCAGGGAAGGCTGTTGTACTTACTGTCATCAGGACTTCAGCGAGCCAGGCCTCCAGATTGCTCCCGAAGACCCCAATTCAGCCTGGTGAGTGTGTCTGGATATAGGGGGGAAAACAAGTATGAGTGAACTTCCGGTACCAGGAACAAGACAAGGAAAAAGTCAGCAGGCCTTGAGGGGCAGAAGTGGGATGAGGAAGTAGGGACGCAGGGAGATGGGTCAGAGGAAGATGGAGGTCTAGTTTAGTGCTTGCCTAGCAGTCACATCCCAGAAACACACAACAGGAGACAGACCTCCTACCTGGGTCAGACGGGGCCTAGTTTTATTGTGTTTCTGCTTCTGCCCTCTCCCTGCAACTTCCTGCAAAACTGAATTTCTGTCCCAATCCCTTATGAGCCATGGCCACCTCCAGCCTACTCAGGACATCAGTATTTGCCAAGATATTATTGGGCTCTCAGAGGATTCTGAATGGTAGACTTTGATGTTCTAAATACTACAGCAAAATGTCCTGTCTTCTCCCAGCTTCTTTACCCCCCAGAGGAGAGCATGAGGCTGCTCCTCGTTCAGGTGAAGGAGGACGAGCCCTACTGGGTCTGGCTCAACGAGTGCCCTTAAGAGAAACTGGAGAAAAAATTCACACCAGGGTGAGCTGAGATCCTCGTGGGATGGATGGGGGTGAGATGTTCAGGAGATGCACTGGGTAGAGTTGGGCAGTCCTAGGACTCAGGATGTTATTAGGTCTTAGTTTGTTGGAGTTGGGACCAAACCCTTTTCAGAGTGGATCTGACTTCCTGTATTATGTATCTGGAGCCTGGAGACAGAGGTGACAGACTGACATACATGTGTGTCACCAAGAAATCAGTGCTAAGGCCACCTAGACACTTCTAATACCTACCACCCAAAAATATTAATTCCTGCTGGACAGTGGTAGCATGTGTCTTTACTCGGGAGGCAGAGACAGGCAGATCTCTGTGAGTTCAAGGCCAGCCGAGTCTATAGAGTGAGTTCTAGGACAGGCTTTAAAGCTACAGAGAAACTCTGTTTCAAAAAAGCAAACAAGCAAAAAATTCCTTCAATTATTTACTAACTGACTTTTGAATGTATTCATGTTCCTAAGTTCAGAATATGCATATTCTAGAAGAGGGAAGCAAAAAAAAACCCACAAATATAAAATACATATAAAGTGTCAGATAGTGATATAATCTCTAAAATTAAGTACTTAAGGCAGTGAAAAGATTTGGGAAGGGGAGTTGGTGTCAGATTGATAGTTTAGAGCCATGCATGGTAGGGTATGACTAACCCAGCTCTCTGGAGGCAGGAGAATTGCAAGTTAGAGGAAAGCTTGGGCTGTTCCACAGTGGATTCCAGGACAACTGGGCTGTGCACCAAGATGGGGGGAATAGATTAATATTTAGGACTGGTAACTTAACTCACATTGGCCAACTTATAACTGCTTGTAATTCCCATTCCAGGGCATCTGATGCCTTCTTCTGACTTTCATGGGCACTCAAACACAGCTACACATAAATGTTTTTTAAATTTTTTAAAAATATTTTAAGGGGGTTGCTAATCACTCTATTTTTACAAAATGTAGTTTGTCCAGGGCACTGTCACTGAAAAGATGAAGGTTAAGTGAAGGCCAGGAGTTGAGAATGTGAGCGTATAGATAAAAGAGAGGACTATAGAGCTATTTAGCCGAGGGCTGCAGATGCAAAGGTCCCGAGAAGAGGATACATCTAGTGCTGTGAGATCGAAGCCAGCAGAGAAAGGGTAAATAGGGAGTAGCTGCTGCAGTGGGGGAGAACAAGACACAGGCCGTGAATTCAGAAAGGCCACTCTTCCTGCCTTTTTTTTTCCTCCACGGGACAATGCTGACTCCCATGCGATGCCTTCTTCTGCCCTGTAGCCCAACTCATGTCTGGCCATGTGGTGCCACCCTTTGTCACCAGCCTTTAGAGACACAGGTGTTCCCTCCTCAGGCCTCTCAGTTGTGGTTTGTATAGACAACTTTTGGACTGGGCAGGAGCAGAAGAGTCTGGCTAGAAAGCCCGCTCACCCCCTATGTCTCTCCCCAGACCTCATATTCATCCTTGAAATGGTTCACCACTCAGCGTAAAACCCGGTTCACACCCGCCCAGTCATTACCCAGAGTTCAGCAGGTAAGAGAGCAGAGGAGACAACTGATGTGGGCCAAGACTAGGGAGGAAGAGAGAGGGGCAGGTACTGTGTGGGATGGGGGGAATGTTAAGACTCCTTTTTTGTTTGTTTTTTTTTTAATTTTTTATTTTTTTAATATTTATTTATTATGTATACAATATTCTGTCTGTGTGTATGTCTGCAGGCCAGAAGAGGGCGCCAGACCTCTTTACAGATGGTTGTGAGCCACCATGTGGTTGCTGGGAATTGAACTCAGGACCTTTGGAAGAGCAGGCAATGCTCTTAACCACTGAGCCATCTCTCCAGCCCCTTGTTTTGTTTTTTCATGACAGGATTTCTTTGTGTTAGAGTCAGAGTTGTCCTGGAACTAGCTCTGTAGACTAGGCTGGCCTTGAACACACCACCTGGCCCTTCCTAGTCTTAAAAATAGGTGGTGGTGGTGCACACCTTTAATCCCGGCACTCAGAGGCAGAGGCAGGTGGATGTCTGTGAGTTCGAGGTCTACAAGAGCTAGTTCCATGTCCAGTCTTGGACAGGCTCCAAAGACACAGAAAAACCCTGTCTCAGGGGAGAGGGGGGAAGAGACAAGACTATGGAGGGAGAGGGGCAGGTACTGTCGGGGATGGGGAGGGTAGGATCAGTAAGAGGAGACTGTCTCACCCATGGGCGATATGTCTTGTCTGATGCAGACCCAGTGGCGGAGTGGTCTCTCTCCTCATTCCTCCCCTGAAGACCCTGCCCTGCCCTGGGTAAGTGGCAAAACTTCCTGTACTGAGGTATGTGGTGCTATCCTGCTGGCCTGGAGGGCTGGCAGCCTTGTGGTTTGAGGTAGGTGAACCATCTAAAGAATCTGCTTGCCTCTTGCTTCTCTATCTACTCTTCCTATCCTATGTTTAGAATGTCTGTCTGTCTCTATTTTCTGCTAGTCTGAAATTCTGAAGAAATTTCTTTTATGTGTGTATCAATATCTCAACAATCTGGACATCAAACTTTTTTTTTTTTTTTTTTTTTTTTTTGGTTTTTCGAGACAGGGTTTCTCTGTAGCTTTAGAGGTCGTCCTGGAACTAGCTCTTGTAGACCAGGCTGGACATCAAACTTTTGATTCTCCTGCCTCAGCTTCTTGAGAGCTAATATCAGCTCTGATTTTTAGAGCCACCAGAGAGCTTTGACCCATTCCTCAAGAGGGTACGGACAGTCTTCCCACCTTAATCTGACTTCCTCACCTGCCCCCTTTGCTTCTATGTGGCAGGAGCAGATTGCTGTAAGGTTGTTTGACCAGGAGAGTTGCATCATGTTGCAGAAGGGATCCGGGAAACCACCTGCAGCAAGCACTTCTGGACCTCACCCCTTCGAAACCCCCAACCTCCAGGAGCTAAAGATGCAGGTAGGGATGTAGTGACCGCACCTTTGGTGGCTTCTGCACCATGAGAAGACTGGGAATGGGGAGCCGGGAGTGGAGGTGTGGGGAGACCTTGTGGACACAGTGATGACACGCTAGGATTCTCTCTCCACCACAGCGCATCAGTCTTCTGCAGCAACTCCTACAACAGGAGATAGAGGGACTGGGAGTGGACAAGTGTGCCCCTCTTAATGGAGGCTCTGCTCTAGAGATGACCAAACTTCAGCCCCTGCTGGCTGACATTTCTAGAACTCCGAATGCTCCAGAACACAATCCTGGAACCTCCCTTCTTGGACTGTCAAGACACACTGGTGTGACAGAGCCAGATCTTGCAGAAGAGTGTGGGGAGCCACAGCCCCACGGTGCAGAAAAGCATGGGGAGCCACAGCCTTGCCCTGGGGCAGAGACCAAGGTAGTTCAGCCTAGTTCTACCACAGACCCAGAGCCCCCAGTGCCATGCTGGATAGCTGAGCCAGAGCCACCAGAGCCTTGCCTTCCAGTACTGCCTGGACCCCTTCTGCCTCATCTCCAAGGACAGGCTGAACCCCTTGAGGCCTGCCCTTGGATGGAGCTAGGACCATCGGCAGCCGACTCTCTGGAAGCTAGAAACCCAGCATCCAGCCCACAGCCATGTTGGAGTCAGGGGCCTCCAGCAACCACCAGCTTGACCTTCTCTTCACAAAGCTCACTCTGTGCCAGCCCCCCTATCCACTCACTCCAGTCTTTGAGGTCCCCAACAGGCCAGTCAGGTAAGGAACTGGCTGGGGAAGGGTATGAAGAAAAGGTTCTGTCTCTTTGGGAGTGGGCCCTGCCTTGCCGGGCAATGCTGTGCTCTTTCCTCTGGCCCGCATCTGAAGAGCTCTCCTGCCCTATGTTTCTAGCTGGCCCTGCTCGTGGGGGAGGAGAAGGGGCAGCACCCAGAAAGAATATAACTCCAGAGTCTCTAAATTCCTCATGGCCTTCAGGCCCCAGCAGTCTGGCCCCTCGGACTCTGGCTCTGAGGCAGCGCCTCAAAGCATGTCTCAGCGCCATCCACTGCTTCTATGAGGCGCGTCTGGACGACGAGTGTGCCTTCTACACTAGCCGAACCCCGCCTCCTGGACCCACCCGGCTCTGCACCAACCCTGTGGCCACGTTGCTTGATTGGCAAGATGCCCTGGTGAGCCTTCTGTTTACAGCCAGAACCTTCTGCACAGCAACCCACAGGACAGCGGAGGGGGGCTAGCCTTGCTTCCTTTACCAAGGTGTAAGGGAATGAATGTGACCCAGTCTCTCTCTTTCTCCAGCAATTCATTCCAGTTGGTTCTGTGGTCCCACAGGACTCTCCATCGTGACTCCAGCCTCCGCGGTCTGCCTCACTCACCCCTTCCTCCTTAGCCTTATTTATTGTTGCTCTGCCCGTTGGACTGGGAGCCATCCCCTTTTATCCTTTAATAAAGTTTCTATGAATTGTGAGTGTTCCGCCAGGGCAGCTACTGCTGTTGCTCTCCAGTGCCACACGGTGGCAGTGTGCTCCGGTGAGGGACTGAATGCTCTGGACTGCTGGCTTCCTCTCCTGAAGCTGTCTTCCCACTCCTGCCGTGCCCACCGCAGCAAACTCTTGAGGGGTTTAGAGGAAACTGTGGAACTCTCTGAGATCAGTCCCGCTCCAGGGCCACCTACTATTTCTTCATCTAGAGTACCTCTGCTAGAACTCTTAGTTGGCGCCAGTGACCCTAAGCCACCTGGAAGCTGAGACAGGAGGATCACTTGAACCCAAGAGTTGGAGACCACCCTGGGCAAAAAGAAAAACTACAAAGAGACCAATAGCAAGGGCAAGAAAACTGCTAGAATTCTTTTCCTGTGCAGGCACACCAAACCCAACTTTAGAATCTTCCACACTCTGCTTGCAGGAACAGCAGCCCTGAAGGGGACCCTTCCCTCTGCTCATCCTTCCCACATCAAAGCCAAAATCTTCATTCCTCTCCTAGAGAGGCAGGTCTGGCTAGACTTAACTGCAGAGAACAGTCTCCTAGTTGAGGCTGACAAGCAGGGTAAGAGTCCTTTCTGGACATCAGGCAAAGGGGCCGCCACTTCTCCCTCCCACCCTCCACCAAGGCAGGCAGCCACACAATCTCCAGCCTCACTTTATTGGAAGAAGTAACAGCATCAGTAGCTGCAGGGCCTAACCTGGAGAGGGGTGAAATGAGTACTGTACAAAATGGGTTTTAAGTACTAGGAAGGAAGTAGTTGGTTCCTTCAGTTCACGGGAAGGCTGTCTTGGCTAGGGCCTGAAATAATGGAGATGCAGGAGGGGAACGGAAAGAAAGTGGCTACTGAGGTCTGGTATCTAACCTGTGACAGTCTCCTCTCTCCTAGACGTGCTCCTTCCTCTGTCCTTTCCCTTCCAAACTGCCAGTGCATCCCTTACTCCCTGTGAGTCTTTGATCTCATTTAGTTAAGCTGTTCCCCAGCTCCAGGCGGAAGGGAGGGCCACGACCGGCCGGGTTTCATTGGAGCACAAGCGAGATGGTCCCGCCCTAAGTGGCTTCTCTTCATCCCACCTTCCCAACTTTCCACTCCCCCGTCACTTAAAACCCTTGAGCCCCAAGAGTCCGCCCGTTTAGGTAGCCTGGGGAGCCGGAGAGTCGCGGGCTCTCAGAGGTTGGGGCCTTGGGTAGGACTAACTGGAGGTGGGTGTGGATTGGAGCAAAGGGGCAAGGAGGGCGGGCAAATGCGCGTGTGTGGAAAGGTGCTGGGTTCAGTCCGGGTAGATGATGAAGCCTGAGAAGGTGCTGTACTTGTTGGTGTTGCCGCCATGCACTTTCCCACCGTCCAGCTTGATGAAGACCTCGTCACCCACATCTAGGTGAAGAATGACGCTGTTGCTGGCATAGTCGTAATTCTGATCCGCATCCTGAGCAATGGCGCTGGCCCGGACCTAGTGAGAGAAGACGAAAAAAAAAAACAGACCCACATCCCTAAACCCTGTGCAGAGCCGAATTGACCGAGGGGGTTGAGCCCAGCGACTGCTGGAACAAGTTGGGCTTAGGTATGGGCTACGGGAAGGGGTGTGGGACCAAACTGTGTTTCTCGACCTGTGGGTTGTGACCCCTTTGGGGTCTAACGACCCTTTCACAGGAATTGCATATTAGATATTTACATTGTGATTAACTATCTAAATAACTGTAGCAAAATTACAGTTATGAAGTAGCAACAAAATAATTTTATGGTTGGGGCCACCACAACATAAGGAACCATAATAAAGGGTCGCAGCATTAGGAAGGTTGAAAACCACTTAAGCTAGGAGACGGCGGAGCTTCTCGGGCATAACTTGGGCACACAAGTACCATCTCTTGGCCTCTATTAGACCAATAAGGGGTAAAAATAATGGATCCTACCTCATGAGGTGGTTAGAGCTAAATGAGCAAGTTACTCCTCGACTGGGTTCAGAACCATATTTTGCGTACTGAAAATGTTACTTAGAATTGCTGTTCTCGTGCAAAAAAAAAAAAAAAAGCTTTCAAAATACTTCTAGGCATACGTGCTCCATCAGAATTCCTAAACTAGCTTTTCTGTGGGGCTGGGGAATACCTGTATCTGCACCTGTTATGCAGTAGGAAAATAAACCTGTTTCTCTCTGGCCTCCTGGGCCCAAATTTCCCTGTGGAGAGTTCACCTGGTCTCCCACCATGTGGAGGGCTGCCTTTGGTCGGGATCTCTGGTCTGCAGCAGTCATACCGCCAGCCCCATCCCTCGGTTTCCGTCCCACCGGGACTGGTTATTAAATCATTAATTATTCATCATTATTCTAATCATTATTTACCATTCCCAGGGCCGCAGTGTTGGCTCCGTGGAATACAGAATGGGCGCTGCGCCACCCCGCCCCCTCCAAAACCAACACACTTGAACCTCCTCCCAGATTGCTGGCACAGACCAAATCTACCTGCTCAGTGCCACGAGAAGAAAGACACCAAGCTTAACTTACACTTTGGCATTCCACAGTCACGGCTGCACTTGGCTCATGTGGACACTTAACTATCAACCCCATGAAGCCGCAGATAGCCTAACAACTCCCTTTCTTCAGGCTCTGGACAGAGGGCTTGTTAGGTGCAGACCCCGAAGCTGAAGCAGAAGGTCAGCTAGGGTGGTATCCTCTTGGGTTTCGGGAGCTTTTCAGCTAGATAACAGGGCTCAAGGCTTAGGGGGCCCAGAGGCATAGGCATGGTGCACCAGGGCCCCACCCCCTCCGTGAAACATTCAGAGGTCACTGCTCCCGTTCAAACCTTCCTCTTCCTGCACAGTGTAGGCAGCTCCCTCCACCCCAGCCTATGGCATCTTGCTAGTTCAAATGTCTGAGTCTTTTGGGTAGCTAGTCCCTCGAACCTAGGTGCCAGTGATTTTGACTAACCCACTGGGGCAGCCCATAGTGTAATCTAAGAGGTTCCCAGGAGGTTGTAGGGCCTGTAGACCAGGCCTTCTTTCTTTCTGTCCATTGCTTCAATGCTTTTCCAATTGGTTCATCCCACCACCTATGTGAACCCTGAGCCAGCAGGCCATTTTCTACATCGGCCTCTAGCATCAGTGTTAGCTGAGGGCAAGACTTGGTCTAAGTTTGGCCCCAGGCCCCGGGGGTGAACAAATAGGACAGCTACCTAGCAAATGGGTAAAACAGTGGTTTTTTTTTTCCCTTTTCCACCTTTTCTTTGGAAATCCAAGCTGAATGACTCCACCTAGAGAAAGATGGCCACTACCCAAAACAGGAGTCCATTCTAATTCCTCAAATCAGGTTCCCTAATAGCTTGTTCCATGCCCGGGCTGGAAAACCCACTGACAGAGAAGACAGGCCCAGTAAAGACAGGAGAAGAGGCTGAGGGGTAAGATAGCACCGAAGACAGGATGTGGCAGGCTATGGTTGTTGGTTGGAGACTGAGGTTGAGGCTGCGTTCTAGCCCTGACATTGCTCTAAGGCTCTGTGAGACTTTGGGCAGATGACTTTCTTTTCCAGGCCCCCAATTCCTCCTCTTCGATTAAATTAAGTGACATAAATTTTTGGTGGTCTGGCATTCTTGGACACCCTGATAGTGTTTCAGGGGGAGGAGCTGGGTTGCGACTGAGTGCAGGGAATTTTAGGAAGACACTAACTAGTAAGATCTGGGGCTAAGTAGAGGGGCATGCTCACCTGTCCGTTCTTCATCAAGTCGGCCCACATGCTGGTGCCGTCGCCACCGCGCATGAGCACATGGTAAGCGAAGAAGTAGACGCCCGGCATGGGACAGGTGAACTTGCCACTGGCTGCCTCATAAGCGTTGCCTACGTTGGTCACCACGTCGTCAAAGCGCAACACTTCATAACCCTCGTGAGGCCGCCGAAGACCCGCATAGAAAGCAATTCGGGGTACATAACCCGCAGGGGGCGCTGCCCCTCCAGGGCCTGGACCAGGAGGACCCGGGGGACCTGGCCTGCCTGGCTCTCCAGGGGGCCCTCTGGGACCTGGGGGTCCTGGTGGTCCGCGTAGGCCCGCCTTCCCTCGCCGACCCACCTCTCCCTTGGCACCTGGAGGGAACGGAGGCGCCGAGGCGGGAGCGCCGTCGGGGCCTTGGCCTCGGGGTGCGTGGGGGTCACACACCATGCGACATCGACCCAGCATCTCATAGTGTGTTGGTCCGCGAGAACTGTGCACCAGTAGCGGGATGGCTACCAGCAGCAGCAGCACCATGGCCACCCCGACGGCCGCTCCCGCCACCCGCTTGCGGCGGCTCAGCCGTGATGCGGCCAGGGCCAACAAATCCTCCTCACTTTTGGGCGCAATGGCGGCGGAGGCCCGGGGCTCTCCGCGGACTCGGGTCCCGGTCCGGATCTCCCGACGGCTGTGCTTGACCACCTTGCCCTGACTGATTCCTCCTGTCACAGCGGAGTTGTTCCCCAAACCGCCGGTCAGGATGGAGGTCCGTGGGTTGGGCCAAGGACAGCCCTTGAGGGTTCAGAACCTGTAGTCTGATATTACCCTAGGGTGCCTGAGAGCCACAGCTTCTTGGACGGCTGGTTTCCCACAGGTCTAGATGCCTGCTCTCCAGACAGTTGCTTTCTCGCGGATGGGGGTGTCTAGGTCCCGGGCTCCCTTCGCTGTTTTTTCCCTGGCCAGACCGGAGGACCTCTCCCCGCTCTCCCGACGTCCCAAGGCTTGTGAACTGCGACCGGGGCTCTCAAAGGACGCGACCTCGTCGGTCTTGCACTTTAGCTCCTGGAAAGCACTCCCTGCCTCCTTCAGCAGCCGTGGCCTCGCCAGAGCCCTAACCAGGCGTCCCTCTCCCGCAAGCGCTCTCCCTCTCTGCGTCCCTAACCTTCCTCCCTGGCAGCAGTGCGGGTGGTGTGAGTCGCTGCGCGGCGGGAGACACTTTAAGCGGCCGCAGGCGGAGCGACCCCTGGCGCCCAGAGCGGGAAACGCGGGGGCGGGGCAGGCCGCCCCACCTCCCCCACCTCCCCAGCGAGCCCCCGGTCTCCAGGTTCCTTGCCTGCTCCCAGGGCTTTGCAGCGATTCCCAGTCCCCACCGCATCTTCACTTTCCACCCTGAACCTGGAGTTTGACATTCTCAGAGCTTAGAGGAAGATGGACACAGTGATGGGGTAAACAGAGATCAGCCTACAACACACTATATGGGGGACTACGGAGCTAAACAAGGGGCGGAGAGGGGGGAACGGGACTTACATATAACAAACAAAAATAAAACGCGATTCGCCACCACACGTCCCCGGTGCCCCAAATACCGAATATGGCAAAGGGCTCAGCCGGTACTTGTTGGCCAGAATGGAAAAAGGCAACTCTCCTGCCACTCCGACCCTGGTCTCTATGATTGGAGGGTCGCACAGAAGCAGAAGAAAAAGGAAGAAGAGGAGAGGAGAAGAGAGAGAGAGAGAAAGAGAGGCTAGGGAATCAGCAGGAAACGGACATCCATGAAATCAGAGACAGAAACAGAGATGGAGAGACAAAGCTCCGGAAAGAGACTGACTGACAGCCCCAGAGCGGGAGAGACAGAGACAGAGAGAGAGAGAAGGGAGCCTAGACAGGTTGACAGATCGAGAGAGAAATGTAAATGGCGTGCTGCAGAGAGACACCCAGGTCCGTGTTCGGACTCCAATGTGACATATCAACTGTGAGGAAGACGCGGGGGCAGGGCAGTTCTGCAAGCAGAGTGGTAGGCTGTGGGTCTGTGTGTTGTAACCGTGCTGGATACGGTGTGTGTGCTGGGGTGGCCATAAGACCCTGGCCTTGCTGTCTCTGGGTGAGTAGGGCTGTGACTTGTGGGCTGTCTTTGTGTATACATATGTGAGGCTGTTTGAAGAGGGAATTTGTATGTCTCTCTGTCTTAGTCCTAAAGTCTGATACCCACAGAAGCCAGCTCTCCTGTCTCAGGACTGAAACCCGTGGAATCTCCTGGTGAGAAAGAGTCGGAAGGTTCGGCTCACTTGCTCTGCCCAGACGGGCACCACCTGAGTCTTGCACTGATAATATCAGCCTCCCTCCCGAATTGTTTGTTACTAGAGAAAATAGAGAGAAGTTAGGCCCCACATAATGGCTGTCTGGTTGATTATGCATAGCAACACAATTCAAATTTGGATTAGGTATTAGCCACTCGCCTATAAAGGACACCATATCTGCTTTCAGAGTAACCAAGAAGGAACATTGGCTTTCATCAGAGTGCAGCGGGAAAGCCAGTAGCTGTGTCTTCTCAGGGAATAGAAGGTCAGAGGCTGGAGACTGGGGTTTAGGACCGAAGGGGCTAGGAGTCTTTGGAGACCTAACAGTAGACAGCAGCCGAGTAGGGTAAAAGCCAAGAGGGTGGTGTGTGGAAGAATATTTTGTGTAAAACAGGGCACGAGGCTCACCAGGGCACAGTTGTCGCAGAAGGGGATTTCTTCATCTCTCATTTCCTATACTCCTTCTTTGGATCCCCTGCTACAGCTTGTGAGAAAGAAGTGGCTGGGGGCTGGAGCTGGGCTGGGCCTTTGCTGGAAGTGGGGCGAGGTCCCGACCTGCCTGAAAGGATTGGTCGAGAAAGGATTGGCAGCCAGTGGGGGAAGGGCTCCTCCTCCAACCATAAATACAAATTTTATTCAAGGTCTTTGTCACCATTTGTCTTCCTCGGGGGGCTGAGGGCCATGTCGGCCCTGTGCATGTCTAATTCCAGATCTGCTCCCCCAGGCTGCATGATGGATGGATCAGGGAAAGCAGGTCTCAGTTCATGCCAGTCTCCCCTGCAGAGCCTCAGGCCTCATCCACCCCAGTCCCTACACCCCTCTTCTCTCCCTACATTCTCCCTCCATTCAGCAGAGGCCCTCTCTGCCCAGTTCTCCATCCACCCAACTAGCCCTAGTCCCCATCACCCCCTTTTTGATCCCCTCACCTCAGTCCCTTTCAGATGCCAGGTTTCTTTTCTGGAGCATCTTCTGCTCCTATCCCCAGGCCAAGCTGTGAGCTGCAGTGACCAGGCAGGCTGCAGGAGGCAGCGGTTGTATTTGGTGTGTGTGGGGTGGGGTGGGGTGGGGGGAGCAGGCTTGGCTCACAGGGAGCCAAGGGGCCAGCTCTATGAATTTATTCATGTTCTGTTGCTCTTTCCCCACGCTCTGGAATGAAGCTGCCAGCTCACCAGATCCTCATAGCTTCCTCTGCAGCTGTCATCGTCCAAAGAGGGACACTGTTAGGGCTAAGACCAGTAGGTCTTCCTGTGGCCAAAAATCTCTGAGAGAAAGCTGGGGAGTCGGGAAGAGAGCAGGGACATTTTACCCAGAGCCTCTCTGGTGATGGAACAAGGAGGTCCCAGTGAAGAGATGAGCCTAAGAACGGGAGCCGGGAGCCGGGCAGCCAGGGGTACAGCAAGGCAACAGAAGCCTGGTGCAGGGCTGGTGGCAGGAAGGTGGGGATGAGTTCAGCAGTCTCCTAAACAAAGCAGAGCCCTGTGTGGAATCCTGCGCTAACCTCTATCAATGACTCTGCACTTCCGCTCTTCCTAATCCCAAATTACACACTTAACTTCTCTCCAATCCTAAAACGAAACTAAATTCCGTAACAAGACCCTAAGGGGAATCCTTACTTTCTAGAACCCAAGGGTTTCCCCAGAATTTCCCCCAAGGCTATATAGCAGGTGTGTGTCAGAGCTCTAAGGGCCAGACTTTAGATTAGCATGTTATTAGCATATGATTTGCATGTGGCATGTGCCTTCTCGGCAGAAGTTTTCATGTTAAATTTTTATGAAGTCTAGCAGAAAGGTCCTGGCTCCTTGAAGGTTCTTTCTTTTTGTTCTTTCTCTCATACTTATTGTCACTGACCCAGACGCCCTCTAGGGAAGAAAGGGGTGAGGAGGTCAGCAGTGGAGTGGAGAGGGTGGAAAGACTGGCAGAGTAGCTGCCATCACCTTACAGGCCTCAGCTTCCTCATCTATGGGGGTGGGGGCTCGTATCTCATCCAAATCTAAGAACCCTTTCCTTGCCTCCTCTCCAGAGCCAGTGGGAGTGCTAATCTCCCTAACCCTCCATGTTCTTGCTTTCCTTTCCACTTTGGAGGACAGAAGCAGCTTGGACCCCCTGTATAAAAAGGAGAGAACTCTGTTCACTTTAGGGCACCGCAGGAGATAACAGTAGGTGTTTGTTTCATTTTAGGGTTTGTAACATGCAAGTCCTCCTTGCACCCTTTCGGCATCCCTAGGACTTGGGTGCTTTATCCCTCTCTGTGAAAGATGAGGAAGCTGGGGTCCAGAACTGGGAAGTGAATTGTCTAGTTACCATCCTGCAAGGAGATATTCCTAGAATGGGAATTGGGTGGGCTATTCTTCCAACGGGAGTTTTGAGGTTTCAGATTCCTTCCCAGTGCTTGGAAAAGAGACAGTGGTGCCAGAGGCAATGAGGGGGTGAGAGATGCTGAACAGAAGTAGGCAGCACGAATTTTATAGGGACCCAACAATCTACCATGTTGACTCCAACGGAGCAGTCTTAACTTGACACGTCCCCAACCTCTGCTCCAGTTGTCAACCCTGACACCCGCCAAGGTTCAAATATTGGCTAACAGAAGGACAGAGTTATTTTCAGAGGATGATTCAGACAGAGAAAGGGGGCGCAGAAAAAGGAGGGGGATGAGAAAACGAAGTAAGGTAGGGGAATTTTGCTTCCTTTGGCGCGGGTCACTCCCTCTGTGACCAGGGTGGAAAAGCTGGCAGCTTGACCTGCACACACACAGTTTGCCTTCTTTTGGGGATGATGGACCTGCACCGAAAACCAGGGCCTCTGCAGCCGCCAGGACAGCGTTTCTACTCATCAGCTAGCTAGTCAGCCCTCTTGACCTAGAGCACCATACAGCCTTGTTCAAAGACCCGCTGGTCTGAGAACAGAGCGGACTCCAGGCTCCCTAGCGAGCTGAGCGGAATGCTTCCAAATTGTTAGGCCAGAGTGCTGATTTCCTTCCGCAGCCCTGTACATCTACCCAGATGAGGCTTCTGGTCTTCGTCCGGCACCCTCTTCACCTCCCTTTGAGTTGGCAACACCCACCCCGTGCCCCAGTGTCTGGTTAATGAAATGTGGCAATTGACTGCACAGACAGCTGTCATGCCCCTCATTTCTCCGCTGGGATATTGAATCCCTCGCCGGGAGACCGACAGGTGAAAGGAAGTGGATGGGGTGCAGAGAAATGAAGGAGGGGTGCGGGCTGTTGAGAGCTGAGAGCCCAGGAGAAAGCGCCATTCTCCAAGTCTCCAGGGTTCAGTTAAATGATGTAGGCCCTAGGATGCTCTTTCTGTCCGGGGCCCCTAGTGTTTTTCCATTCTTTAACAAGCAGCAGACTTTATCAGCCCCAACCCACCGCCCTCGGACAACAGTCGACCTCACTTCTTGCCTTCACCCAGGACCAAGCCTGGCTTCAGTGAGCGCAGCAAGCAACGCCTCGCAGCCCGCGGCGGCAGCCCAGTGCTTCCTGCCATCTCCTTCCATCCCTTTCCTCTTGCTCCCCCTCCTTGCGCTCCCTCCTCCGCGGCCGCGGCCTTTATTAGGGATTCCGCGGCTGTCGGTCCCGCCATCCATCCTGTCCGCCAGCAATTAGGCGGCCAGACAAAGAGCAGCTTCGGATGGATGAGGGTCCCGGCGGATCGGAAATGTGAAGGGTCAGCGCTGCCGCCCGCGGCGCACCCCGCTCCCCCTTCCGCATAATCACCCGCTGCCCGTCACTCAGCCGGCCGCCCGGGAGCTCGGGAGCCCGGGAGAGGGCGGGGCTGTGACTGCAACCCAGGCACCCGGGCTGGGGCGGAGCAGACTCCAGCAGGTGCGGCTCCTGCTGGAGAGTGAACGGGCCTCCGAGGCACTAACACAGGAAGAGGAAGGAATTTGGGCATC